GCGAAATTGCAGGCTTTTGTACTTATTAATCTTTTTCGATTTTCAGAGATTTTTACATGGGCTTAGGCATGTGTTCGAGGCGGTGAATATGGAGAATACACATTTCCTCATATGGACAACAACACCCTGGACACTGCCATCGAATTATGTTTGTGCGGTTAATCCGAATTTGATCTATGTGAAGGCCCTGGATAAGAAAACACAACGCATTTATATCCTGGCTGAATCACGCTTAAATACCGTCTATAAAAACGAAGATGATTACAGTATTTTAGAGAGATTTCCTGGTACCAAATTAGCCAATGCACCATATAAACCACCCTTTCCTTACTTCCTCGAAAAAGGAACCGCAGCGAAAGCTTTTCGCGTACTTGTCGATGATTATGTCACGTCAGAGACCGGTACCGGCATTGTCCACAACGCGCCCTACTTTGGTGAGGATGAATATCGCATTTGTCTTAATGCGGGCATTATACAAAAATCCAGCAAGCCAATTTGTCCATTAGATGAGGTGGGACGTTTCACGGCGGAGGTAACTGACTTTGCTGGTCTCTATGTCAAAGATGCCGATAAGGCGATAATAGCGAAGCTCAAGGAAATGGGTGTGCTAGTATCTGCTGGTCAAGTCAAACATAGTTATCCATACTGCTGGCGCTCCGATACACCTTTGATATACAAATCTGTACCCTCATGGTTCGTACGCGTGGAGCATATGTCACAGAACTTGCGCGATTGTAGCGCGCAAAGCCATTGGATGCCGGAAAATGTGCTCAAAAAATCTCTGAAGTGTGGTTTCTTGGTTGTACACTTTTCATTTTCGGCAGTCTTATAGAATTTGCATTTGTAAACACTATTTGGCGACGTAAACGCAATGTGGATGTGAAGAAAATGAGTAGCAAGCATATACTTAAGTCAACATTATCGCCGCGCGCTTCACGTCGTCCCACAGGTCGTTCACGTTCATTCTGTGTTGCGCCTGGTGCTAATCAAGCATCCAATGACCCAACCGCATTTAATAATTATCTAACCGTACATAATATACCAATACATACCATACATGAGAATGAAGCATTGGATAACATATCGAAAATTACGAGTTTCAGTGGCACTACAACAAATACTTGCGATTCAATGCCTTATAGCAAACGTGATCTAATCAATATGGAATCTGGAGAAGCAGGCCAAAATAACGGTTGGACTACACTAACTCCTCAAGAAATATCCATGTGGATCGATAAGAAGGCCCGTTGCTTATTTCCGCTGGCTTTTCTTGCTTTCAACATATTCTTTTGGACGTTTGTCTATGTGGTGTAATGCGGCAGAGGTTGCAGAATTCGTAGAAGATGTATTCATTGGCGCTCATTTGCAGGTGCGTGCTAAAAGACTATATTGCCTATATTAAACTTCATTTCACTCATTTATTTTACTGATGCTATGATTGAGTTTTAGTGGACATTGTTTACTATGAGTTACATAAACTTCTAGTGGTTGGTACATATCTGTATATTTAAGCAATTGTGATTTTAATGCATTTGAAGAACGTTGTGATGTTAGTTGTTGACTTGATTTTTAGACTTTAATGTAAAAGATATGATACAATTTTATTTATTTTCATGTAAAAGCCTGTATTAATTAAATGCATTGTTAACTGGGTTTTTATGCCATAACAGTCGCACCTAAAAACTAGAAAAATGCTATAATTTATACTCGAACTTGCTTTAGTTTTTGTTGCTGTAGCACTTTTGCACATGCTTGATAATTTTGCAAATCAAACTCACATATATATTTTTGGAATACTTAAAAAATTATTTTTATTATAATCTATACCTATTAAATTTAATGGATAAATATTTAGGAATCTCATGTTTTGGTTCAAAGTAAATACAATGGAAAAATATTCAATGGTTAAACACATACATACAAACGCATAAATAGGTTTTACAGCGCATTGCATTGTGCAAATGAAAATTCATTGGAAATCTCCCTTTGCTTTATTGCATCAAAGCTCCTCTTTGTTCGTAGCGCTTTCGCCTGAATCGCCTTTTGTTTTTGTTGGCAGCTTCGAGTTTTTCTTCGGGCTTTTCTTCTTCACATCATCCGTATCTTCATCGCTCTCCAAAGCCGGCAGAGTTTCCTTCAAACATTTTCGATCATCTAGCGCAAGTACTTCATCCTCGCAAAGGTGCTCAATTAAACTCTTCTCATCTTGCAGCTTGAAGTACCAATTTGATATGACATCCTCATAATTTTCAGCCATATCTTCACACTGCGCTTTCATTTGCGTCACTTCGATTGGTGGCTTGTCCCATAGCTCATAGGGTATGCCCAAATCCACTTTGACGCCCTTGTCGACGAGGCCGTGTAGTGTTTTGAAAGTTTGTGACATACCTTTGGCAAATCGTGTGCTATCAGAGCGCTCCTTGTGTAGGTTATATTCCAAAACGCGTTCACAAACATTCTCCAGCGATTCCAGCAGACGTAGCTCACTGCGGCGGTACTCGGTGCGTTTCTTTGGTTTGACATCATCGAGCGAGTAACTGTTTGGAAAACACAATTAGGATTTAGTACATAATTATACCACATTCTTTGTTTTATTTCATAATCATACCCAACTTCGATTACATCGTGCGATTTGCCAGTTTCCTTTAGTCGTTCCTGCAATACAGTAGCCAAAATTTTGCAGGCTTCACAGCGACTGGCAAAGCGCACACCCTCCTGCTCCTCCGGACCGGCATTCACCAAGTACACCAGTAGCGGCAGTATTAGAACGAGAAGCTGCATCATCAGCTTGTTGTTTGCAATTGTGAACTGACTGATAATTTATGCAAATTAGCAAACAAATTAATATAGCCTTTTGAGATTGCAATTTGGGGCAAAAAAAAACAAAAACTGACGTGTGTTTACCCGGCGCAGGCGTGCTGCCAGCTTGGTAATAAACTTCGTGCCATTGCGTGCTAATTTGTGGGAAGTTTGGCGGATGGCAGCGCTGCATCACCATAAATACACGAACTAATTTACGGTGCCTTTTTTATGCAGAACAGCTGGTAAGTTTGTTGATGGGGTTAGTGACTTTACTAAACTGCTTTACCAACTTACGAAATGAACAATTTTATGAGAACTATTTTACGCGGACATATTTGTGCGACTTTTTTT